TGTTTATAGCCTTCCTGATGTTCTCCATAAGTATCTTTGTTTCAATGGCAGAAGGAAAATGAGAGGGAAAATACAGGTAGCATAGAATTAATGGAGCAAGGGCCTCCTTTCCTTTCTATAGAATTTTGTGAGTGTTCGAAAATAAATTAAGATCTGTCTCTAAGTTTTGTAATTTTTGTCCATTCCCACCCAAAAGACTTAATGACAGGGAAGAACAAACAAAAGATTAAGACAAAGAATATTATTTCAGTGGCAGAAAAGTATCAACATGATACAATTCAGAGCAAAGGACTTCCACTGGACAAGCACTTGATGTCAGTGGACAAGCAGGGTAGAAATTGATTCTGGTCAGGTTGCTTTCTTTATCTTACATGATGCAGCTGCCTGACACTATTGATGGTTTTGGTAAGGGTTAACATCTTTGTTAACCCATAACAGTCACAGGTAAATTCCAGAATAAATCTCTGAATCTATAGAGATCATTCTAGAGGTGTTGCCAAATCATCTGCACAAATGAAGACTGACATTAAGCCTAAGTCATACGAGTTTAAAACAGCACCCCAAACTGAACTGCAGAAAAATCCAAAGCTGTGGTGCCATGATCAATAAATTGAGCTCCAGATTTTTGTTCATATCTTACATTTCCTGGGAAACTCTGAATGCAGGAAGACAGACCAGGGACTGGGGTATCTGCTCTATTTTCAGGACAAGCATGAATGACTCAGAATAGGGCAAAGGAATGTTAGTGTTTGCAGAATAGCTTTGGGCCTGTCCAGAATGTTTCTCTAGTGCCTGTCCTCTTTTCTCACCTACCTTGTCCCTGGTACAATAATTACACATTTTCCTGGCTATTTTCCCTGTTTCTCTCTTGGGAGAATTTACTTACTGTGGATTTTCCCTCTCTGAGCAATACAGCTCACACAAGGTGAATTTAGAAGATGTTACAGAGCCTAGTACAGACACAAGGGGCAACATGGAACAGTCCAAAGCTGTTTGGAGGAAGAACAACTGCATGAAAACTGACCTGAGAAGAAAGAAAAGTGGCTACAGGCATTAAAACATGAAGACTTTTGCGATGAGATCCTCATGTTTCACAGAAATTACTGCAATTAATTTTGCACAGACTGTAAGGATGAAGGAATGCTTTAACTGAAGCCTGGAAAGGAAGGCAGGAGCCTGGGGAACAGATTTGTTCCAGAATCCTAAGCATTTCTTGGTGACCTTGGTACCATCACATGTTTTCGAGACATAGCAGGACACAGCCATAAATGCCAGTATTAAAAGTCTTAAGCTAATAGAAATTTATGGAAACTAAAATTTTCTGTTGTTTTGATGCTCATGGAACAGAAGAATAATTAATAAATATGAAGCTACTATTTTTCCCAGTGGAATCAATGCAGGATTTCCACCAGATTGGACACAAAGAATCCTTCTTTTTATTTTTTGACTAGTGAGAAGTCTTGTGTGTGCAGGATATACCCATGTACTATGTCAGCAATAAGTGTAGCTTTCATTTGCACCAAGAAAAGCTCACTGAGTCACAAACCCAGCCCCATGTGACTGTCTGACATTTGTCCATGGGCCACAAGTGGCACTTAAATAAGTCATTCCTCTGCACAGAGCTGCCCCAATTTCAGCTGGTACAATGGATTTTCTAGTGGCAGACACAACTCAAGCCTCCTGCACATGAATGAAATGAATTGATCCTTTCTGTTAGGAGAGTGCTGTTACTCCTTGAGCCAAACTCTGCTTTAGTGACAGTGTGTGGAGCTACACTGGATTTACTCTGGTGCTCTGGAGTGCAGACTGCAGGGCTCCTCCTGTCCCTCAGGGATTGTTAGTGAACAGCAGTTCTGCTTGGCTCCTTATTGTCTTTGTTAATAACACTTCTAATGATTTGTGTTTGCATCTATTTTTGTATCTCCTAACATACTCGTAAGATACTCAAGGCTGCCTTGGAAAGAGCCCAAGCTCAGGAGTGGGGTGTATTTAAAACAGATGAGCCCCTGGTTGCTGTAGATATGTCATTGGTACTCATTCAGTTTGCAGGAGTTTTTTTTTTTCCCTTTCCAAAGTCAGAGCCAGCCTGTGGTGTGCCCAGTCCTCAGAGAACTGTAGCAGAGAAGCACCATCCATTCCTTTTGCAGAATATCCAATTCTCCACTGAACAACTTGTTCTCCACAAGAATATCACAAATACTAGGGCAAGCAGGGAAAGAAGAAAAGGTCATTCTACAGCTGCAGGGTAAACTAAAACAACTACCTGGTCTTAAGTTCCCTTTGGCCTCACAACACTTCCCTCATCATTTAGTGTACAACTCAAAATGTCCATACCTGCAAAATGGTTGAGATGCAGCTTATTTAGACTCTGTGGAAAACAAAGGGGAAAACCTCCCATCATAAAATCTCCTATGACAGCTCCTTGCAAGTCAGCTAGTGACCATAACAAAGCCCTTCTCCTGCTCTCTGCTAGGGTATTATTCTCCTCTGACTGGGTGTTTGGTTACCATGAGCCCCATGCTGGAGTCCCTCAGGCCTGATGGATTTGGGATTCTCAGGATACTGTGTGTCAACATCATGTCACATCAACAGCCCTGTGTGTCAACATACTGGTGCTATACTGGTGTGCCGGGGGAGCTCCATGGTCTGAAACACCACTTTGAATTCAGGTTGGGTTTGTATGTAGTTTTTTTTTTAAGTCATTTTTTGTCTTAACTGCAGAAAAATGATGTTTTATATATATATCTACATAGCAGTTCTGTGAGCTGGTTTTCATGCTGAGAAGCAAAATGAACATTTTAAAAGATCAGATCTGAGGAAATCTGAGTATTCTTAGCACACACAAATATCACCGCTTTTTATGAACCATAACCTTTTTTAATCAAAAAAAAAAAAAATTCAGCCCTGGGCTGCATTTCCTTGCTTAGGTGCCAGCACACCTTTCCATGGATGCCTGCCTTTCCAGGCTGGAGCTCTCCCTGTCTCCTGGGCAGAGGGAAGCCTGCAGCTCGTGGGTGCTCGGCACTCGTGGAGCAAGAACAGCCTCAGCAGAGTAATGCTGCCACCAATTCCCTTGTTTAGAAAAGCCTGGGAATGTCACAACTTGTTACACCATGGCATCTTTAAAACCCTCTGGAGGCAGTCATAACTTCTGCCTGAGGCGCCCGAGAGCTTCCACGAGCACAAAATTAACGATGCAGCTCAGTCTGGGAGGGTTGGCATTTTAATCGTGGGTAGAGGAAGCCTTGCACACTGCCAGCTAATCTTGGAGAAGTAAATTAACTAACTCACATTTGTAACAGGCTTTGAGATATTCCAAGGAAATGTTCCATAAAAGCCAACTTGTTATTAAGTATTTCTGACAAAATATTGTTTCAATTAATCTCTGTCTTTGATTTTCTATTTGGGCTACTCTCACAAAGGCCTTTTGCCTTTGCCTTTTTACTGTAGGTAACGTGGGCTCACCCACACACAATTCCAAGAACCTGTGGAGAATTATGTCACTCCAAGTTATTGATTGTGTTCCAACTTGGATTATGCTTTGTACAGCCTCTAATTAATCCATATTCATACCATAAGGATTTCTCATCTGACTGTGGTCTGATCAACCAGCAGAGAAATATAGAGTCCATTTCAGTTACATTGGAACTTTCCAAGAGAAAGCGCAGCTCTCCAATAGCTTTGTGTCTAGGCAATACAGAGTCTAGGCTGTCATGAGCTATTTAGATGGAAACAAATGTCACCATTTAAAAAAAACAACCAAACAAACAAAATAAAAACCCAAACAAAAAAACCCCAAAAACCCAAACCAAACAAACAAACAAACAAACAAAAAAAAACCCCAACAAAACCCAAGAAACCCTCCCCAAAAAGCCAGATTAGTTAATATATTTCAGAAACATGTCTAAATTTTGTGCTTAATCAAAAGTTAGAAGACTTTTTTGGATGAAATGCGCTCAGAAGACAGGCCAAAAGATATGCAAAGAAAATAAAGACATAAGATAATAAGCAAAGAAAACCTGTTAAAAATGAGAGAAGTTACATGTGTTGTCTATGTTTTTGTGGTTTCAAGCCCAGTTAGTAGAAAAATAAAATTACATAACCTAGGAAGAGGATTCTGCATTTCCCTCATTTAGTTTACCCACCATTTTCGTTGTGCTAATTTGTACTTTAATAAATTAAACTGTTGAAAAATGCATTTGTCAGGTGGTATTCAAGAGGCATAAATAAAGTAGTTCAAGGTTTCTCTTAGAATCTATATTCCTGCAAGGAATTTTTTGGGCAAAACCACAGCTTCAAAAGGCACAGCAAGACACAGACTATCCCCTATCTCATGGAAAGATCCTGTACACATATCACACTTTTATTTTGTATCAGGATTAATGCCTTTAATATTTTCCCCGTTTGCTGAATCCCATCTGCAGGGACAATTATTGTGGGGTTTTTTTTTGGTTTTTTTTTTTTTTTTTACCTAGACACACTCAAGTTTTGTTGCCATTTCACCCACTGAATTCTGTGCTGAACAATAATTACCAGCCCTACAAAGCCATGTTTTGTCTCTTGGCACCGAGGACTGAAGACATATTTCCACACCAAGCTGCGATTAGCTCTCCAGGGACAGAGTTTTCTTTGCCTTCCAATTCTTGCGGCTCTCTCCCTCTTCCTCCTTACCGCAGCGATTTTCAAACAATAAACGCGTGTGGGTTTAATTTACACCTTTCCTTACACCTTCTGTCTTTAAGGGCGCACGGGGCGCGCTCTTCCACCTCTTCTGCGCTCCCTCCGATGGAGTTCTGTCCCCCGTTCCAGCGGGGACCGGGACAGTGCCTCGCCCTGGCTCTGGCTGCCCAGGCGGGACGAGGCGGGGGGCTCGGGGCTCCGGCTCCCGGCGGGATGCGGGCGGGCTCCGGCGGGATGCGGGCGGGCTCGGGCGGGATGCGGGCGGGATGCGGCGCCGCGAGGGGCGGGCGGAGGGCGGGGAGGGGTCGGCGCGGGGGGCGCGCAGGCGGGGCCGCGCCCGGCGGCGGGAGCGCGCTCGGCGGCGGGAGCTGCGGTCCCGCCGGGGCACGGCCATGGAGCCCTCGCCCAAAGACGGCGAGAGCGCGGCGGCCGCCGAGCCCGGCCGGAGCGGCACGGCCCCGTCCAGCGGGGTGGTGGTGCAGGTCCGGGAGAAGAAGGGCCCCCTGCGCGCCGCCATCCCCTACATGCCCTTCCCCGTGGCCGTCATCTGCCTCTTCCTCAACACCTTCGTGCCGGGGCTGGGTAAGGATGCTGCGGGAGGGAGCGAGGGAAGGCGGCCGGGGCTCGGGGTCCCTCTCCCACCTGCGGCTGCTTCGCCCCGCCGGGGCCGCCCGGGCTGCCGGACCCCGCCGCGGCGGCAACTTTCCCCGACGGCCCCGCGGGGAGGGATGGAGGCACGGAGGGAGGGATGGAGGGAGGCGGGAGCCCCCGCGCGAAGTTTCGGTCGGGGGCCGGGGCAGCGCCCTGCGGGGTCCCCAGGGGTCCCACCGAGCGGAGCGGGCGAGGTCGCGTTTCCCTCGGCGGGCAACGGGGCTGGGGCAGCCGCCTGACCCCGCTCCGCCGCTCCGCGGGCACCGGCCCCGGGACGGATCGGGCACATCCCCCACGCCCTGCGACCCCTCCGTTCTCGCCGGGCGGGTAGAAGGGATTCAGCTGTTCGAGCTCTCGCGAACTGTGATTGCAGTCAGAGGACCAAAGCTCACGGTGGCCACATCACTCGCTAGCTAGAGAAGAGCTTTGAGAGCCCACCGCGCCGCGTTTTCTAAGGAGACCCCTGGAAAACGCTAGAACCGTTGTCCAGAAAAAGTGGAGATTCACAGCGTAAAGTCTCTAGTGTGCTCAGGTCCCTAAGATGTGGCTGCATCCTTTCTCTATTTCCTTTTCCTCCAGTTGAATTAGGAATTGCTTACTGCAAGAGGTTAGAGTTTGAACACTACAAAAGCCCCTGGAATACAAGGCTAAATATAGACATTCGAGATGAAAGCAAAACAACCACATTAATAAAAAACCAAAAACAAACCAAACCCAAACAAAATAATCAATGACTCATTAAACCATACCTCAAGTCTCTATAACAGTCCATTTCTGGCTGCTGTTTCTGCTACAGTAGCCACCACAGAGACCTTCCTTGTGATATGGGAGTATCCTCCAACTAGCTCTGCTTTAAAGTGCTACTGACTGCCTTTAATTGCTTCATGTGCTTCAGGTGGCTTAATTCTTTAACAAATCTGAATTTCTTAAGTTCTGGTTAAAGTACTACCCATGTGTGGGTGGGATAGTGTGTGCAACATGTAGAAGCCATTGCTACTCCAGCGTGCTTGCGCTGTGGATGTATTTCAGAGGAAAACTTGACCTTTTGCAATATCTCTGCATTTTCCTGTGGCAGGGCTGGTGTGTGTGTGCCTCCAGATGCAATCCACTGTGCACTGTGTTGTTTACATAGCCCTTGTGTGCAGCCACCTGAAGAACTTTGAGTGATGAATCAAAGACAAATTCTGGAGTTGAGTTCCCTCATGGGGCTTTAGGTTTCCTGGGGCTTTTTTTCCCACTCCGGAGAGAGAAGTTCAAAACCAGAGTTTCCAAAGTGAGTGTTGTTTTCTGTTGGCATTGAAGACACCACACCTTCACTGTAGACATACAGGAAAAAAGCCTGACTTACCACCCCTCTTTCTTTATACAAATGATCTGACACTTCACAAAGCACACTAGAAAACCCTCAGTGTTCTCCCTTCATCTCAGAAGGACAGATCCCCATGAGCCATCCTTATGTTGAAATTGGCTTGAAGTGTGGTTCTCTGCCTGGAGCTCTTCTCTGAGTGCTGCTGGGGGTCTGCTGGGTTGTGTCTTCCCTCAGACAGAAGGTGCCTAAACAAGAACAGCAGACAGCCCTCCCTTCCTGAAGGTGAGTGTTCAGGGCTCCCAGTCTGTGCTGCTTGAAAGCCTGGGAGTTGAATCTGGACTACGTAACTGTGTTGGCTGTGTAACCATTGACAGGCTGGACCAGCACGAAATGGTTTTTAATTTTATTTTTAATTCCATTTGGGTTTTTTTTAACAGGTGGAGGGTTTTTTTAAATTTGTTTGCCCTCTGATGTGGTGATTTCAGTGGTACAGTCTGGCTGGCTGTGCCACTGTTTCTCCTGGCGCCCTGTTGCAAAAGTAGCAAACCAAACAAACTACAGATGAAAAGGAATCCTTCCCCGTGACATCTCCACAGCCTGGTAAAATGCAGTGTTTTGGAGATGCATCCCAAGCTCAGCATGCAAAGCATGGCATTTAGTTTGTACATAAATGAACTGTTCTGTTAATGAAGCTGCTAATATCACATGCATTTTGAGAGAAATCTTAGTCTGAGGTGGCACACCTGACTAGAAAAGAGCTATTTACAATCTCAGCCATATCCTGTCATGCATCACGTAGCCCACACAGGAGGGGAAACAGGAGGATTGTGAATCTACTGCCAGGCATGTTCAAGGTAAAAAGAGATTTTCTGTCATTGTTGCACTTCAGCCATCTCAATGAGCTGAGCAACGCTTGTAAAATAGATAAGATTTGCAGTGGTGTGAAGTATTCACATCAAAGATGTGAGCCTGTTCCCTGGGAAGTAAATGGCAAAATTCCCATTAGTTCTTGTAGTGCAGATTTGTAACATGTTAAAATGATGTTTCACAGGCTCACCATGTATTTCTGCCTGCTTAGCTGGAGCGTGTGACTGTGTTTAGGTGTTAATGGAAGTCCTCTGTTTCTCAGTCCCTAAATTCATCCCTCATTGTTTTGCACGTAGTTGTCATTTGTGTGTAGACTCTGCAGTGCAATTGCAAAGAAGGGTCAGAGACCACCAGAGTAAACAAGAAAATGGGCAATATTGAATAAATCAAGTTTTCCAATGCTTGGAGATTAGTGCATTTGAGGTATTCATTAGTGCCCCATGCCTCAGAGCATATCCAAATAGTAATTGCACTCTGATGCAGACTTCCAAATCCTTGGGCATTCACTCACCATATGAAAGTCTCTTTTTTTTTTCAGTTAAATTATCTTTTCTCTGTTACAGAAGTCACCTTTGAGGGTGACATCTGAAAATTTTAAATATCTGGTTTATTTTTCCTTTGTGCTATTTATGTTTTGCAGTAGTACTCTATTTGGACAGGAGAAGTAACACTTCCTCTTTGTTTACAGTCAGTTTATTATCTTCAGTTGGTTAATTTTCAGAGTTTAACGTAAAAACCCAGAACTGCAGGTTTTAAGGTGCATTGTAAACTGGGTTTTAACCACTCATTCCATACATGCTACACAAGATGTAGTTCACAGGAATTTTTTCATACATAGAGGATATGTTAACTCTTCCCTTGCCAAAACTTAAAATTCAGGCCAAATGCAGCGTAAAAAAAATCTCGATTAGCTCATCTACTTGTAACCCATTTTGCTGAATAGCCTTGAAATCACACATTCCTTCCAGTCGCTGTGATGGGCCACTTGGAAATGTTCTGGATCAGTTTTCCATGGCCCAGTGCAGTCTTTCTCATCTGTGTCTAACAGGACTATGGGGCTGAGCTGCAGTGAAGGTGTCCCAAGCTGAGGTTCATAACAAGAGTGGGTAGGCAGAAGAAGGACGAGTCAGTGGGTGCTGTAGCAAAAGCCATCGTGCCTTGGCTACCAGCGCTGCCACAGGCATTGCAACCTCTGGTGTGGCTTTTGGTTTCTGGAGAGGCTCTGAGGCATCAGGGCCAGATCGTGCAATGATGAGCTCTGGAGAACGGGAGGTGCAGCTGCCAGCAGCGCTGGAGGGTACCCAGGGCTGCCATTCCTGCAGGATTGGCGCGGATGGCAAACGGGAGCAGGGCTGGCCGTGCCCTTTGGCTGGCAGACTGCGTTCCCCTGGAGCTGCCGTGTGCCAGTCAGTGTGGGAGGAGATCTGGCTCCTTGTCATTCCCGGAGCTGAGACATGGCAATCTTGCCCTCCTTCCTCTCTGCTCTTCCTTCTCTCGACATCGCATGTGTGGGAGGGGGTAAGCCAAGGAGGGGAACTTGAGGGAAATGTGAGAAGTGAGTGAAATTATCTTAAAGTCTGAGGTATTCTCCAAGATTAATCCCTCCTGTCAGGAAGGGGGTGGACTTTTGGATCACAGCCTGCGTTGTACGTGTACACTATTTTTATGCGGGGAGTAATTGAAATACGTGGCATAAAATCATGTTAGTGCAGGATAGGAGAGCAGCCACCCATGTGCCACAAAATAGCCCATGGAGGAACTCAGGAGTGCCAGCCTCTCACAGCAAATACAGAAGGAAGGGGTGATCCCCAGCCCACTCAACTTTTTGCTTCCAGGGCTCCACAGTGCAGATGTCCTGTTTCCAGGTGTGGCAGCTCCGTATCACAAGTCTTCTGCCATCTGTTTATTCACTCTTGAGAGAGTCCAAGCACTGCACCTTCAGCTGTGGGAATGTGGCTTTGCCATTGGATTCATAGAAGCCAAGCATCTTCTCATTAGAAACCAAGTCTCTCCTGAGCAGAATGAGCTCTCCAAAGAGCTGAATAGAAAGCTGATGGGATAAGATCTGCATAAAATTACCAGTACCCATTTTATTTTTGTGGTTGGAATGGTAAATATATGCCTCAAGAAAACATCCATTGCCTTCATTATTAAAAGAAAGAATTTCAAGGAAAAAACACATTTTCTTGTCTATGGTAGAGCAAACAGTGCAATAATGAAATTTGGGCTTTCAGACATATGTACATAAAAATCTCAGACTCCCTTTGGTATATAAGATATTTAATTTTTTTTTTCTTTCAAACATACAAACCAATGAATCAGTGTAATTTACAAGCTCATTTTTGGAAAACAAAGTATTTCTCGAGTGTTTATATGAATTTGTGTTTGTGAACTTTACTGCTGCAGTTTTTTAGCTAACATGGGAGCATAATTAAACAAAGCAAATATAATGCCAGTAGACTTCACTCTGTCAGGTTTTGTATTTTCCACTGAAAAGGTCAAGAAGTTCTTTATGGTGATATGTGCTTGTGCAAGGTGGGAAATGAGACCTGCAATAAAATGTGTGCATTCAGGTTTTACTACTCCATTACTGGTACAGTGGTATCAGCTGTAGATTATCCTCACAGTGAGGTAAAGTTGGACTCAAGAATAACTGAATCTGAGTTTTCTGCACTGTAGGTCTTTGTTCTTTTCAGTGTGTAGAAGGCCATTAAATTTTATTTTATTTTATTTTATTTTTATAACAGAGATTTAA